GTTCAAACTCAAAATTCTCCTAGCTCAATCAAAATAAATGAAATATATGGACATGTATAGTTTCAGGGCAATAATGTATACATTTTATCTTCACAAATGCAAGCCTAACAATGCTTAAATATGAAGATAAAAGTTCAAGAAAAATACCTCAAAACTGGAAATCAGGAAATGCAAATGAGCTTAATTCAAGATTCTGCAATGATCAGGTTAGCTTCCTCAAGTTCCCAGGAAGCTAATGCAATGATTAGCTTGAGCAATGGGTGGCTGAAATGGTCTGGAGAAGTCAACTTGCAGAACTCTATTTTTGGTTATGGAGGTTGATGAAGATGGAGTTACAGTTATGAAACAAGGTCAGGGATGGTTTGTATTTGATGTAAGAAAGCTTTATGAATGAATTTGAGGGAAAATGCACGAGAGAAATGAGAGATACAAGTTTAAGGTCAAAACTGTGTATTAATGGAGTTTTTTGTGCAATTTCCGGCTAGAGGGAGTTTGGGAGTGTTTCAGGGTGCTTGAGCTCGTTTCTTAGCTCACAAATAGTGACTCTATTTATAAACAACAAGTTTGGAGACTTGTTGTTGAACAAAATTCAAAATCACAAGTTTTTGAATAACATATGATTTTTTGAGAAATTCAAGTTTCAAAGCCTTGTGTACTTGCTAAGATAGAGTGGTTATGCTTTAAACATACTTGCTTATGACTTTGTGGATGGAGTGTGATCAGAGGGAACAAGTTAGAGGATCAAGAATGGACTTTATGCAAAAAGCTTGCTTTACAAGAATGACAATGTTAACTTTGTGCCATTAATGGAAATGCAACTTGGATAATAGCTCAATTGCTTGGATCAAAGCTCTAACAGTTGTGTAATCATTTAATTATGGAGTGAAAAAAAGTTTGAGGTCTGCAAAGCAAAGATTATGCAGCCTAACATGGATTTGGTTCATGTGTTCATCAAAAATGACTTGTAATTCAAGTTTGAAAACCCTAACTTCCTCTCTTCGATTCTCCCTGCTCAAGAATGATCTCAAGAAGTTCTTGGACATTTTGGAAAGCTTATAATGTGCTCTACAACACCTCTTTGAATCACTTTTGAATATTCCCTTTGGAACTATATTAAAAAGTTCCATGAAGTTAGGTCAAAATCCTGCCTAAACTAGGGCAAAATTTCAATAAGTGTTTAGTTTCAAGACTATGACTTCATGAATTAATAACTTGAGATCCAAGAACTTTTAGAAGAAGTTGTGTAAATAAATGCTATAGATATCATGGATATATACAACTCCCATGTTGAAAGTTTCTTTTAAATCATCTTGCATCATGGTGAAAATTTTGCTCAAAGTTGTGAAAAAACATGAAGTTTTAAACACTTAGAAAAATTTCTAAGTTAGAAAAATTTGACTTTTCAAAATGAAATCTTGACTTTTTTATTTCTTGATGAATAAGTTTCATATTTTGACATGTTTTGATGAATTGTGATCTTTGACACTTGATTTTGACCAAAAAGTCAAAATTTGACTTTTCAGTGTACAGTTGACTTTTGATCAGTTGACTGGAAATTCTCTAACAATCCAATTGAATCTTGAGCAATGTTTTGGGTCATGCCATTAGGTAAAAATAATTCAATTGAACTCTTGATGTCATGCCTCAAACCAATTAACCTTTTGCTAGGTCAACAAATTAGAAATTGCCCCTTCTCAGTCAAAACCCTAATTTTGACCATTTTGCCCATTTGGTGATTTGATCAAATTTCTTGAGGAATTATGGTCCAAACTTGATAAAATGATACATATCAGTTTATAATGTTGATGTGGATAAAAAATTATGAAGTTTGACTGTAAATTGGCCACAATTGACTTTTTCCTCAATACAGTTGATTTTTAGATCAACTGCTCAATTGACTAAGCAAAAATGTGATCCAAGGCTTGAAACTTGACACGAGTAATCTTGGGGGTTCATAATGATCCATGAAAGTCATACGAGGCTTTGGAAGTTTAATTATACTTGTGAAATCTCAAACCCTAATTTGAGTCATCAGTGCTTAAGGAGGTGTCTTGAGCTGATCAAACCTTGTGCAGTCTTGATCCAAGAGAGATCTTTGTGAGAAAATATTGGATAAGTGAGAGGGAAAATTTTGGGGTACAAAACCTATTCTTGTTGTTGAGGAGGACTCTGCTGAGGAAAGTTGATCTTTGTCTTGGGAAATAGAGTTTAGGAGCTTCAGTTGTCCGTTACTCTACCGGGGAGTTATCTCTTGACTGAAGAGACGAAAGTGGACTGCTATCTGGTCAGGATCCGGGCTTCACAGTGACTTAATATGGAAATGAGATTAAACTATTAAGAAATCAGCAATTAATCCATGGAACTGAACCAGCGGAGGTCTTGAATTAACTTTGAATATATAAGAATCAGAAAAATCTTAGGATCGATTTAACTGTACCAGTAAAAGTCTACGGGAAAAGAATCAGTAACAAATCAATGGTTGACTCGAATTGAACCAGCAGAGGTCTTGGTTTATCTTTGACTGGATACGAATCAGAAAAATCTTAGGATCGGTTTAACTGAACCAGACATAAGTCTTGGAATATCTTCAACTGGAATAAGAATCAAAGAGATCTTAGTGTCGATCTGACTGAACCAGAGAAGGTCTTGGATTAATTTTAACTGGATAAGAATAAAAAAATCTTAGGATCGATTTAACTGAACCAGACAGAAGTCTTGGAATATCTTTAATTGGAATAAGAATCAGAGAGATCTTAGTGTTGATCTGACTGAACCAGAGAAGGTCTTGGATTAATTTTGACTGGATAAGAATCAGAAAAATCTTAGGATCTATTTAACTGAACCAGACGAAATTCTTGGAATATCTTTGACTAGATAAGAATCAGAAAAATCTTAGTGTCGATCTGAATGAACCAGAGAAGGTCCTGGATTAACTTTGACTGAGTAAGAATCAGAAAAATCTTAGGATCGATTTAACTGAACCAGATGAAAGTCTTGGAATATATTCAACTGGAATAGGAATCAGAGAGATCTTAGTGTCGATCTGACTGAACCAGAGAAGGTCTTTAATTAACTTTTACTGGATAAGAATCAGAAAAATCTTAGAACCGATTTAACTGAACCAGACAAAAGTCTTGGAATATCTTCAACTGGAATAAGAATCAGAGAGATCTTAGTGTCGATCTGACTGAACTAGAGAAGGCTTTGAATTAATTTTGACTGGATAAGAATCAGAAAAATATTAGGATCGATTTAATTAAACAAAACGAAAGTCTTGGAATATCTTTGAATGGATAAGAATCAGAAAAATCTTAGTGTCGATCTGACTGAACCAGAGAAGGTCCTGGATTAACTCTGACTGGGTAAGAATTAGAAAAATCTTAGGATCGATTTAACTGAACCAGACAAAAGTCTTGGAATATCTTCAACTGGAATAGGAATCATAGAGATCTTAGTGTCGATCTGACTGAACCAGAGAAGGTCTTTAATTAAATTTGACTGGATAAGAATCAGAAAAATCTTAGGATCGATTTAACTGAACCAGACAAAAGTCTTGGAATATCTTCAACTGGGATAGGAATCATAGATATCTTAGTGTCGATCTGACTGAACCAGAGAAGGTCTTGGATTAACTTTGACTGGGTAAGAATCAGAAAAATCTTAGGATCGATTTAACTGAACCAGACAAAAGTCTTGGAATATCTTCAACTGGGGTAGGAATTAGAGAGATCTTAGTGTCGATTTGATTGAACCAGAGAAGGTCTTGTGAAGCATCTTTCTGAGGAAAGTGCTGAAACAACCCTTCATTAAACATAGTTTTTGAGAGGACTATCAAGTCACATAAGTAGTCAACGGTATTTGTTGATTTGATCTTTCCTAAAAAAAGGTAAAGAGTTAGTCATATGCAATTCCATGATGTATGAAGTGCATTGTGATGATGTTCTCAAAATAAATAAGATTATGATGTATGCGATGAGTATGCGCATGCCATGATGTATGAATATGGGATGTTATCGCGATATTCTAGTATGGGAAAATAAATCACGGACTGCTGTTGGGGAGCACTGGGAAGCTGAATCCTTTACTTCCACTGAGGATGAGGAATGGATATGATCCACCGGGAATTTCCCCTTTTTGTTTGAGGATATTATGCTGGGGATTGGTTCTGCTTGAGAATTAATTTTACTCAAGAATAACTCTGTGGAGAGAGATGCTTGTTGGAAGATTCTACCGATGTAGAGAAATAAACTCTGTTGGGGAATGAACTTCTGCAGTCTGAGAAATAAACTCTACCTGGGAGGAGGTTTTATAACTATTTGAAATTATAAAGCCCGACTGGGGAACACATACTTCAACTCTCTGCTGGAAGAAGTTTGTTGGAGGAGATAATTCCTGCTTGGGGATGAAGGAGTCAAAACTTTGGTTGTTTCTACTCTGTGGGGAACATAGGTGCCACGGGGTCATATGTAGCGGTGACTTCGTCTCAAAAATGTCCTTGCCCCTGTACCTGCTGGAAGGAGTAACTGTCGAAATTGCAAATTGTTTTTTTTTAGACTTTGCCCCATTTTTTAAAGTCCTTAGCAACTGTCTTTCTGTTTTAATGCAAATATTTGTGAACAACAATCATATTCAAATGCATATGTCAAGAATAAGTCATTGGGCGTTTTTTCAAAATAAAACAGAAAAAGAAAAACAAACAGTCTGTATTTTCAAAGAAATGATTTGTATTGATTTATGAAGTTTGCCTATAGCAGGCATTTTGTACAAAGAGGTTGACGTTCTAGTAGGAGAATGCCGTTGTAAGAAGTGAAAACTATACAAAATAGTGTACAAAGAGAAGAAAACAACTATGTGCAATAATCCCGTTAGGTTTCAATTCTGCTATTGCCCCTATATCTTTGAGTGTCTCATCACTTTGCTGTTTGTCCGAAGTTTACTGGATTGATCGATACCATTTGAGTTTGATAGTTGATACTGAAGTATGGTCGCAAGGTGATCTAATGAGACATAGTGATACGCTTCAAATACCTAACTTTTGCCTGGACTGCCCTTTCGGGTTTTCAGTCCACCGGGATACCCTTTTTTGGCCAAGTCGCCTTTTCAGGTTTTCGACTTGCTGGGTGTACAATTTTTTTTGTTTTTTATTCTTAATTTTTGCCCGAACCTGTAGTGGTGAAAATCAGAGATCAAGCTATTAATTAACTTGACTCGCAAATAAGAAAGAGTCGCCACCGCGCTTTATTATTTCCAAGGGAAAAGGGAAAAGAGCGAAATAAAACCCTAAAATATGCAATGTAAAATAACACTTAAAATTAATGAAAATACAATGCATTTTTAAAAGAGATCGAGAGTTCGGGGGTTGGTTATACAATGGGAAGGTACTAGCACCCAATGCATCTACGGTACTCTGCATGAACCTTTTGAAATATTTGTTTTTTCGATTAAAATTATTTGTTTGATTAAAATGGTTTATTTGGCTAAAATGGGTATGGTCGAGATTTTCAAGATACGACGACCTAGTGTCGAAGTTTTGACTTAAAAGGGGCGTGAGTTTAAAAATTGATTTGTAGGAGATTCGTCTTAAGATTAATAAAACAAAAAAAAAAGTATGAAGGGGTTTCGCACAATCGTATTAGATACTCGATGACATGAAGTCAACAAATTAATTCTTTTCCTTGGATTAAATCGAGCGAGAAAAATAAAATGGACATCAAAATATAAGCAATCGAAAATTCACAAGAAAATAAATCTAACGAAACAAATTAATGAGAAAAAGGTCCCGATAAATTAAAATGACAAAGATATTTAAATACAAATTGAAGGGAATGGAACTAATTATCTAAATTAAAATTCTAAGATTACTTACTAAAATAATTCTAAACTAATTACAAATTTTAAGGTTATAAAAATAATTCTAAAATTACTAAATTAGATCTAAACTAAATTAAATGTAAACTAAGTTAATTATAAAATTCTAATTTTTATCTAAGCTATTATAAAAATATTAATCTAAACTAAATTAATCCTAAAAATTGCTAAAATTATATTTAAACTAATTTAAGTGTAAACTAAATTCATTACAAAATTACTAATTTAATCAAAACTATATTAATGATAAAACTACTAACTTAAATCTAAACTAAATTAATTTTAAGATTACTAATCTAAATTTAAACTAAATTACTTACGAAAGAGGTGTGAAACAGAAAATTGAGGTCTGGGCTAGTATAACATTGGTGAGATCAAAGCCCAAAATTATATCCACTAAAACTCTAGAATTAGCCTTAAGTCAACAATTATGATTAAAAAAAAAAGGGAACAAGACCATTTAACTCCCAGGCGGAAGATCCTTCTTGTAAACATGGGATGGATTCTCAACTTTTACCTCCAATCAATTAAATCCTGCCACTTGTCCGAAACAACACAAAAAATGAGATAAAAAAAATAAATAATAAAGAAATAATGCAATATAAAGAAAATTGAAATAAGTAGCTTCTTTTCCTCTTTAACGATCCACCTTCCTCTTCATACCCTTCTCTTTCTTCCAAACAAATCCCAACCTTCTTTCTTCAAATTTCTAATCACCTTCCACTCTTCTCTTATTTCTTCTTCATCTCTTTCTCTTGAAACATAAAAAAAACCAAAAAAATTATGAAATCAAAACAATCAAAATTAGTTAAAATCAAAAAAATTGTGAAATCAAAACAATCAAAATTAGAGAAAGGAAGTAGGCTAGCTACTGTATTGGTTTTTTTGTGGGTATGCTAGCAATTGCTTTTTGACAGAAAAGTGAAGGGAGTTATGTGTGGAAAGAGATGGAAAGAAAATAGTATTATTTACTGCATATGCTTTTTGTGTTGTTATTTGTTTTTTTGGTGCTTTACAAAAGAAAATTGAGAAGTATTATATAGGAAATGAAAAGGAAGAAAATGATAACAACAATTAATCCCGTCCATTCATTATTTATTCAGTATGTATCAATCCACAACTATTGCTATCAACCAATAGAAATAGAGCAAGGTGTAATTAATATTTTTTATGACAAAAACGCCCTTAAATGATAAAACTGAAATAAAAAACTGAAAGTATTAAAATTAATTCAATTTAAAATAATTTTTTTGAATTTTTTCTGAATAAAAAATAAAGACCCAAAATGACCGAAAACGATAAAAAACTGACGAAAACTTATTCGAAAAAATAAAATGAACACATTAAAATAAATTACATATCACAAAGATTAAAGAAAAAATATTCAAAAAGTCAAAATCGAAATAAAATGATAATAAAAAAAATCAGGCTAAACGGACGTTTACGGTTAAAAACGAGACTTCCAACTGTACCGAAAAAATAAAGCGAGCATACCGTCATAATCTACGCGTCACGCAGATTCATAAAATGATCGGTAAAATGTGAAAACTTGAAATATTTTTCTCGCTATTTTTTCGCACAATATCGAATCGCTTTTAATAGTCTGTCTATAAAACCAAAATATTTTTATTATCGACATATAAACAACTTGGAGCGATGTAAGAAAATAGTAAACAGATAAAAATGCATGAAGTGAAATGTCGGGTATTTTCAACTGCAAAACGATGCAAATGTCGATTTAAACAGACTTTTGGTCAGCTTAAACACGGTTAAATGATACAAATGTGATGAATGAAGCTATTTATTAATGACTGTGACCAAATGACAAAATATGATATGAAAGTGCGACTGAAAAAATTAGGGGCGAAATTTAGGGTGCAACAGTTGTACCTTGATGAATCAGTCTTCGAGAATCCACAATCAACCGTACTTCTGGCTTGGGAGACTCAAAACCTTAATTGAGGCGCGACACCTGATGCTCTTGATTCAGACCTGTCTGTGCACATGAAACAAAAGAAAACATGAACATACACCTTTGTATGCGATTAGAAATTAGTGATACATAGGCTAAAAATGTTCAAAACACTTGACAATCTTCGCATAGTCAAAGCTCGAAGGTGACAGGTTAAAACCGACCCTATTTCGTGACCTTGACTAATGTTTAAAAATGCAAAAATAAAAATGGGATCTTAGGTCAAAAATTAGGGTATGACAGCTGCCCCTATTTAAGTTTCTTCTATCTGGAGATATGAAGATTGGAATCTTCATTTCGACGAGATTGAAGGCACTTAAATATAGAATACATAATTTTTGGCCTTAAGATACCGCCAATAGTTTATGATATGATATGAATGTGATATTTTGAATTTAATGAGGGATGATGCCGCATGAGATAAATTACTGTTGGAGAAACCAATCACAGTAATCACACAGGGGAAGAGATTATAACTCAACTGGGGAAACAAGAGTCATAGGCTTCAAATGAGAGACTCTTGAATGATTTACATCAGTATTGAGACTGGAAAAGAAATGATTTACATCAGTAAGGAGACTGGAAAAGAAATGATTTACATCAGTAAGGAGACTGGAGAAGGGAAATGATTGACACCAATAAGGAGACTGGAGAAGGGAAATGATTGACATCAGCACTGAGATTGGAAAAGGAAATGATTGACATCAGTACGGAGACTGGAGAAGAAATGATTTACATCAGTATTGAGATTGGAAAAGAAAATGATTGACATTAGTACTGAGACTAGCAAATGATTGGCATCAGTACTGAGACTAGAAATAAACATCTATGACTTTTGAATTTCACCAAGAACGGTAACACATTTCTTCTTTAACAAAGATATCGCTTAAAAAGGATAAAATACAAGTTTCCCCATGGGACTTTTCCAAAGAGATGTCGTTTGCTGAGTAAACATTATTGTTGGGGATACACAAGCTGCTCAAATAAAGAGGCCGCCACTTGCTATCTTTCAAAGGTGTCAATAACATATAAGTTGCTCATGAAGAGACCGCCGCTTGTTGTATTTTTTCAAGGTATTAATAACATACAAGTTGCTCATGAAGAGACCGCAGTTTGCTGTTTTTCAAAGGTATCAATAACATACAAGTTGCTCATGAAGAGACCGCCGCTTGCTGTTTTTTCAAAGATATCAATAACATACAAGTTGTTCATGAAGAGACCGCCGCTTTCTGTTTTTTCAAAGGTATCAATAAAATACAAGTTGCTCATGAAGAGACCGTCGCTTGCTATTTTTTCAAAGGTAACAATAACACACAAGTTGCTCATGAAGAGACCGCCACTTGCTATTTTTCAAAGGTATCAATAACATTCAAGTTGCTCATGAAGAGACCGCCGCTTGCTGTTTTTTCAAAGGTATCAATAACATACAAGTTACTCATGAAGAGACCGCCACTTGTTGTTTCTCAAAGATATTAATAACATACAAGTTGCTCGTGAAGAGACCGCCGCTTGCTGTTTCTCGAAGATATTAATAACATACAAGTTACTCGTGAAGAGATCGCTGCTTGCTGTTTCTCGAAGATATTAATAACATACAAGTTGCTCGTGAAGAGACCGCCACTTGCTGTTTTTCAAAGATATCAATAATACACAAGTTGCTCATGAAGAGACCGCCGCTTGCTGTTTTTCAAAAATAACAATAACACACAAGTTGCTCATGAAGAGGCCGCCGCTTGCTGTTTTTCAAAGGTACCGACAAAATATTGTGAAGGTATTGCTGGAGGTGAGAATCAATAATTTCATCGGGGATGGACAAACTGCTCATGAAGAGACCGCCATTTGTCATAACATAAAGAAATTCAGAAATAATCAAACTGCTCAAGTAAAGAGTCAGTCGCTTGTTGTCACGTCGATATTCCAGAAGAAGGTTATGATAATACTACTAGGGAATAAAGATCATCTTTAATGGGGAACCATGAATAAATCCTTCCTGAGGAGACCAATTATTTACATACGTAAGATCAATGCACTCTCCATCTAGGTTTCACAGCTTAGAGAGATTCCCCAAGCAACATCTGTAATAGACAAAACACAATCCAAGAACAAAAATGGAGAGAAACAATCAAACAAGACCCTACCAGATGAGGAATAAACTCAACTGAGACTTATCCTATCCTGAGATAGAAAGGAAGGCTAAAGCAACAACTCTTCCACGAGGAATAAACTCAGTGGGGAATTAGAAAAGATACACTTTCTGCTTAAGTTGACACTTTATTTGAGGAGAGGAATCATGATAACCAAAGTATACAAATCAAGAACATCAACAAATATCAATGTGTGTGCATGATGCAAGTGTGAATGAATAAATGAACGTCATGTATATGCTGACAAAACAGATAGAGGAGATAGACAGAAGATGATAAGATATCACAGCACAACCTGACACTCAGCTAATCTCAACAAGATGGGAACATTATTGGAGATAGACAAAAGCCATCATTGGAGCAAAGTCCTTTTACAAGGCTTAAATATCTCTGGAGAGGAAGATATTTTTCGGTAGAAAACCCAAAGTCCAGTCTTCTATCGCCAACAATCCATTGAAAGGATAACAACACAAACAATGTTTCAGCTGAAAAAATCTTGCTTAGTTGGAGATACTGGGAACACCACCCTCTGATAATGTGTGCAAAAAATATCACATATCTTAACAAATATGGATTTCCCCTGGGACTAATTTTGGATGCCCCAAGTTTATTGCTGATAAGCTGCGTAATGCACGATAATTCTTGCGAATATATTTACTTAAAATGCCCCAAGCTATATCGCTGATGAGGAGAAATCGTCTCAAGAGGATTTTACAAAAGACCTGGCATCCACCATGCTCTGGTATCTTCTAACTCTTAGAGAGATTCGTCGAATCTCGACGTGATTGCCCCGGATTGACTGTACTTGTCACAACAAAGTATTCAAATTTTTCCCCAAAAGGGTAAACAAGTTGGGAAAGCATTAACTGGGAGAAGTAACATGTCCGTGCTTACGGTCTTCAGGTGACATGCCCCTGGATATGAATTTTTTTTTTGAAATGATTCGCCAATTACTCAACATAGTTTCAGGCCTTAAAAGAATAAACTTATCACTGGTGCTTATATGTGAGCTTCCTTGATATCAAAAAAAAGTTTTGCAGTTAGAAAAAGTTTATCACGAGGATGAAAATTCTAATACAATAGTTATGTAAGTCTTGAAGATTTTGAAAAGATATCGCACAAACTTTGTGAATTATAGCAACATTTATTTTTGTATAGCAAAAGCATATGATACCAACATAACTATTTAGCAAACATTAATGGGAGTCAGGAACACTATCTCATTGAAGTATGCTTTCAGAATAACCTTGCTTCAATTAGGACTTTTGAAGGTTGTAACGTGGCCTGGTTCATGGTTTTTTAGAAAAAAGATTTTTAAGGCTCAAAATTTATAGGTGCCCACCCATTCTTCGTGATGTTCTCCAACCCTATGTTCAGTTAATTCAACATGAGTGTTCATCTCAAAAGTATTTTGTGACGGTTAAGGAAACGACGAGGCTTTCGGAGTAGAAACCACCTTTATGTCTTTGCGTTTGTAGTCTCCAATTTGTTCTTTGCTGAGAATTTTTCTTTGTATTCCTTTCTTTGCAAATTTTTTATTTTCCCTAACTTTTGCCTGAACTAATTCTTTTGAATTGATAGTCCAGAGGGATGCCCTAATTTTTTTTGCCTAAGCCGCACATTTTCAAGTTTTCGACTTAGCAGGCTTTTACCTTTTCTTTTTCCTTGATTTTGACTTTTGAACAAAACTTGTGACATTAGCTTGTCTTGACTTGTTGAGTGGATTGTGACTTCCTCGTTTCTTGATAGATGAGGGATAACCATTGTGGTTTCGCATCTTCTGTCCTCATGATATATGAAGAATAGCCCTCGCAGTTTCTCTTCAGAAATATCTTCCTTATGAATTTTGAACACTCAATCAGATTAACTGAAAACTACCCTGCCCCAGGTTAAAATTTAAGGTTTTTTATGTAGAAAAGAAACTCCTACTTCAAGGCTCAAAGGGGGTTAACAAGGGATTATCTTCCTTATATCTTTGGTGTTTAGGGATTTGAAACAATGCTTGTACATCGTCAGCAAGATTTTATCCAAAAGCATACAACCAGAGATTTTGTGTTTTTCAGATCATCATCCTCCATTCAATCTCTGCCTAGGCCAGAGAATAGGCAACAAGTTGGTATCATAATGCAAAAACAATTTAAAATTTGAAAACAAATATGAGTGAAACGAATGAATTTCTTCAAGACAAACATACTCATTGTATTAAGATAATCATTCAGATGCAAACAAGTTCTTACATGCAAACAATGTTTTGATAAACAAGAAAAATTACAAAAAGTAGAAATAAGTTAATAATCTGGGAAGGCTTTCCATCTGGACTTGAATTACCGAAAACATCCTTCAAAACTCAAAGTGACCATCAATCGTGTTTACTCTTCGGCACATGCTTGATTTGAACTTCAAAACCAACGTCCTTGAATGACAAGACACCGCTTCTGACCAACTTCTGAACCTCAATCTTCAAAGCAAAGCAACCCTCCAAGTCATGCCCAAGAGCACCTTGATGAAAGGTACAAGTCAAATCAGCTTTGTAGCACCAATGTATCTTCTCAGGAACCTTCGGTGGAAGTCGGGTCTGAACCAAATTCCTCTACATGAGGATAGGGAACAACTCTGTATAGGTAATTGGAATTGGATCAAACTGGGTTTTCCTCTGATTAGGAACTTGCTGATTCTGTTGATGAATAGGAGAAACATGATGATTCTGACGATGATTATTTCTTCCTCTGGTTCTCTTCTTGGAAAAGTTATTATCAAACTTATTCACACCATTAGCTGAGCTACCATCTTCATATGAACATCCCTTTCTGACATCTTCTTCTAGACGCACTCCCACATTCACCTTGTCAGGAAAGTCAATAGGTGCATTAACCATCACCTTCTCATGAGAGAATTATTTTAGAGTTTCAGTGAAGACTTTTATCATCGCTTCCTCCCTCCTAGAAGGATTGACTTGGGCGACAACTAAAATTTCAACCAAGCAAGTTAAGTGCTCCACACTAGCTTTCAAATTAGTCATCTCTCTACGGAGTTCAGAAATCTCTTGTTTGATATTCTCCATTGTCCTCTTAGCGCAAGTGTTGTACTGGTGAGACCAAAGGAAAAATTAAGACTTGGAAATGACCTTTGAAAGTGAAACAAAAATATAGAATGATGCATGATATGCAAAAAAGAGTTTTTACTTGACTTTCAAGGAACTCAAGATATTAATTTGTAAACATCAAAGTATGAAGATAGAAGACGAATTTTAAATCGGATCAAAGAGTTGATCAAGTTATCATCAAGATCAATCATCCATTTTGGTGGATTAGGATTTTCACCCCATCAACACCCAAGATCCATTGAGCTTGACAAAACTTGTGATGTTTACAAAGAAAGACTTCCAAATTTCTTGAAAATCAAGTGAAAGGGGTTTTATGGATGTATGAAGGCATGGCTATGCAATAACCACAAGCAAGGTCACAAATAAAGTCGAAAGGTTCAACGTCACGAACATAGAGTCAAAGTAAGAACCACCCCAAGGTATGTACTAAAGATTTAATCACACCTGTGAAACAAGGTTCTAAAAGTTCCCAGAGTCTACGTTCCTCCTTCAGATATTACCAACATTCCAATTACTCGGTAATTAGCCATATTCTCAAGAGAAACTCGTCTGAGTGCAGCATCGCGTGACAACTACTTCCGGATTACTCCGTTATAGTCTCCGCGCTACACCTAAAAGGCCAAGATGGGTTAGGGTTCTACGATTCTCAGCTTCTCTGGCTCCCACGTCAAAAGCAATAATGTCTTCCCGATTACTCGGTAAACAAATACTATGTTTAAAGAGGCTTCCATTAAGTGGGGGATTTCATGCCTCCTTCTTCGGGATTACTCCCTCAAAGTTAACATGACTATACCGCCCGTCCTATTCCTAAGTGTAACTTAGTCCGGGTATAGGACTTGTCCTTTGTAAATATCATCAACACCCAAATAACCACAATATATCACATATAATCAAACAAACAAGTAATAATAAATAAAAAACAGATATGACAAATTTGGCTTAGCCCACTTAGGGATGGACCAGCAAGAGGTCAATCTTTCCCCAACAGAGTCGCCAATTCTATAGCGGTGAAAATCGGAGATCAAGCTATTAATTAACTTGACTCGCAAATAAGAAAGAGTCGCCACCGCGCTTTATTATTTCCAAGAGAAAAGGTAAAAGAGCGAAATAAAACCCTAAAATATGTAATGTAAAATAACACTTAAAATTAATGAAAATACAATGCATTTTTAAAAGAGATCGAGAGTTCGGGGGTTGGTTATATAATGGGAAGGTACTAGCACCCAATGCATCTACGGTACTCCGTATGAACCTTTTGAAATATTTTTTTTTTCGATTAAAATTATTTGTTTGATTAAAATGGTTTGTTTGGCTAAAATGGGTATGGTCGAGATTTTCAAGATACGGCGACCTAGTGTCGAAGTTTTGACTTAAAAGGGGTGTGAGTTTAAAAATTGATTTGTAGGAGATTCGTCTTAAGATTAATAAAACTAAAAAAAAAAAGTATGAAGGGGTTTCGCACAATCGTATTAGATACTCAATGACACGAAGTCAACAAATTAATTCTTTTCCTTGGATTAAATCGAGCGAGCAAAATAAAATGGACATCAAAATATAATCAATCGAAAATTCACAAGAAAATAAATCTAAAGAAACAAATTAATGAGAAAAGGGTCCCGATAAATTAAAATGATAAAGATATTTAAATACAAATTGAAGGGAATGGAACTAATTATCTAAATTAAAATTCTAAGATTACTTACTAAAATAATTCTAAACTAATTACAAATTTTAAGGTTATAAAAATAATTCTAAAATTACTAAATTAGATCTAAACTAAATTAAATGTAAACTAAGTTAATTATAAAATTCTAATTTTTATCTAAGCTATTATAAAATATTAATCTAAACTAAATTAATCCTAAAAATTGCTAAAATTATATTTAAACTAATTTAAGTGTAAACTAAATTCATTACAAAATTACTAATTTAATCAAAACTATATTAATGATAAAACTACTAACTTAAATCTAAACTAAATTAATTTTAAGATTACTAATCTAAATTTAAACTAAATTACTTACGAAAGAGGTGTGAAACAGAAAATTGAGGTCTGGACTAGTATAACATTGGTGAGATCAAAGCCCAAAATTATATCCACTAAAACTCTAGAATTAGCCCTAAGTCAACAATTATGATTAAAAAAAAAAGGAACAAGACCATTTAACTCCCAGGCGGAAGATCCTTCTTGTAAACATGGGATGGATTCTCAACTTTTACCTCCAATCAATTAAATCCTGCCACTTGTCCGAAACAACACAAAAAATGAGATAAAAAAAATAAATAATAAAGAAATAATGTAATATAAAGACAATTGAAATCAGTAGCTTCTTTTCCTCTTTAACGATCCACCTTCCTCTTCATACCCTTCTCTTTCTTCCAAACAAATCCCAACCTTCTTTCTTCAAATTTCTAATCACCTTCCACTCTTCTCTTATTTCTTCTTCATCTATTTCTCTTGAAACATAAAAAAAACCAAAAAAATTATGAAATCAAAACAATCAAAATTAGTTAAAATCAAAAAAATTGTGAAATCAAAACAATCAAAATTAGAGAAAGGAAATAGGCTAGCTACTGTATTGGTTTTTTGTGGGTATGCTAGCAATTGCTTTTTGACAGAAAAGTGAAGGGAGTTATGTGTGGAAAGAGATGGAAAGAAAATAATATTATTTACTGCATATACTTTTTGTGTTGTTATTTGTTTTTTCGGTGCTTTACAAAAGAAAATTGAGAAGTATTATATAGGAAATGAAAAGGAAGAAAATTATAACAACAATTAATCCCGTCCATTCATTATTTATTCAGTATGTATCAATCCACAACTATTGCTATCAACCAATAGAAATAGAGCAAGGTGTAATTAATATTTTTTTATGACAAAAACGCCCTTAAATGATAAAACTGAAATAAAAAACTGAAAGTATTAAAATTAATTCAATTTAAAATAATTTTTTTGAATTTTTTCTGAATAAAAAATAAAGACCCAAAATGACCGAAAACGATAAAAAACTGACGAAAACTTATCCGAAAAAATAAAATGAACACATTAAAATAAATTACATATCACAAAGATTAAAGAAAAAATATTCAAAAAGTCAAAATCGAAATAAAATGATAATAAAAAAAAATCAGGCTAAACGGACGTTTACGGTTAAAAACGAGACTTCCAACTGTACCGAAAAAATAAAGCGAGCATACCGTCATAATCTACGCGTCATGCAGATTCATAAAATGATCGGTAAAATGTGAAAACTTGAAATATTTTTCTCGCTATTTTTTCGCACAATATCGAATCGCTTTTAATAGTCTGTCTATAAAACCAAAATATTTTTATTATCGACATATAAACAACTTGGAGCGATGTAAGAAAATAGTAAACAGATAAAAATGCATGAAGTGAAATGTCGGGTATTTTCAACTGCAAAACGATGCAAATGTCGATTTAAACAGACTTTTGATCAGCTTAAACACGGTTAAATGATACAAATGTGATGAATGAAGCTATTTATTAATGACTGTGACCAAATGACAAAATATGATATGAAAGTGCGACTGAAAAAATTAGGGGCGAAATTTAGGGTACAACAGTTGTACCTTGATGAATCAGTCTTCGAGAATCCACAATCAACCGTACTTCTGGCTTGGGAGACTCAAAACCTTAATTGAGGCGCGACACCTGATGCTCTTGATTCAGACCTGTCTGTGCACATGAAACAAAAGAAAACATGAACATACACCTTTGTATGCGATTAGAAATTAGTGATACATAGGCTAAAAATGTTCAAAACACTTGACAATCTTCGCATAGTCAAAGCTCGAAGGTGAGAGGTTAAAACCGACCCTATTTCGTGACCTTGACTAATGTTTAAAAATGCAAAAATAAAAATGGGATCTTAGGTCAAAAATTAGGGTATGACAGAACCCTTTTGGTTCGTCGGGATGCCCTTATTTTTGCCTAGGCCAGTCAACCTAGAGGGTCTTTATTCATGCGTAGTATCTTTTCACTATGTTCGCATTAACAGGGTGAGGAAGGTCGTCACCATCCATGGTGGTCAAAATCATGGATCCACCTGAAAGTACGCTTTTGATCACAAATAGCCCTTCGTACGTGGGAGTCCATTTTCTCTTGGAATCACCTTGCGGTAGTATGATGCGCTTGATTATTAGATCACCCACTTGATACACTTGACCTTTTTATTGAAAGCCTTGATCATCCGTTTTTGATACATTTGACCATGACAGACAACAGTAAGCCTTTTCTCATCAATCAGATTCAGTTGATCAAGCCGAGTTTGGATCCAATCGTCTTTGTTCAAACCCGTATCCTTCATGATCCTCAAAGAAGGGATTTGGACCTCAATAGGCAGGACAACCTCCATACCATATACCAGGGAATAAGGTGTTGCCCCTGTCGATGTTTGTGCTGAGGTGTGATAACCATGAAGAGAAAATGGTAACATCTCATGCCAGTCTTTGTATGTCACCGTCATTTTCTGTATGATTTTCTTGATATTCTTGTTAGCAGTCTCCACAGTGCCATTCATCTTTGGCCGGTAAGTGGAAGAATTATGATGCTGGATCTTGAATTGCTTACAGAGTTCGATGATCATTGTACTGTTGAGATTTGTACCATTGCCTATGATGATTCTCTCAGGGACACCATACCGACAAATCAGGTTATGCTTGATAAACCTCAACACAACATTCTTGGTAACGGTAGCAAAAGAGGCAGCCTCAACCCACTTCGTGAAGTAATCAATGGCCACTAGGATGAAGTGATGCCCATTGGAAGTGGTAGGTCTAATATCTCCGATCATGTCAATGCCCCAGATTACAAAGGGACATGAAGCCGTCAAGACATTCAAAGGAACCAAAGGTACATGCACCTTATCAGCATAAATATGGCATTTGTGACAAGTTCGGGAATGTTGATAGCAGTCTGCTTCCATAGTGGACCAATAGTATGCTGCCCATATGATCTTTTTAGCCATGGTGTGTCCATTAGAATGGGTGCCAAAGGTGCCTTCGTGTAAATCTGCCATGATCCTCTCTGCTTCGCTCTTATCTATGCAACAAAGTAAAGTAGAGTCATGGTTGCGCTTGTTGAGAATCCCATTACTAAGGAAGAACTTCGCGGAGAACCTTCTCAGAAATTTCTTATCATTGACAGACACCCCTTCAGGATATTCTTGAGCCTCGAGATACCTTTTCACTTCATGAAACCAAGGTTTGTCTGCTATTTCTTTAGTGTCAATCTCATAGCAGTATGCCAGTTCTTCCAACCTTTCAATAGTGATCCGAGGGGCCTCGTTATCCCACCTGACCTTGAACATAGATGACATGGTAGCTAGCGCATCCGCTAATTGATTCTCTTCTCGTGCAAAATGTTCAAAGGCGACCTCTTCAAAGTGGGGGAGCAGTGTCAGCACATGTTCTTTGTAAGGGATGAGATTCGGGTGCTTCGTATCCCACTCACCGTTGATCTGGCTTATTACCAAGGCTGAATCCCTGAATATGCTCAAGAGCTTGATCCTCAGGTCAATAGCAGCTTTGAGACCCATGATGCATGATTTATACTCCGCCATGTTGTTGGTATAGTTGAAACATAATCTGGCAGTGAAAGGAGTATGAATTCCCTCGGGAGATATGATTACAGCACCGATGTTATTGCCGAGTGCATTGGAGGCTCCATCAAAAACCATAGTCCATCGGGATCCTTCCTCAAGTCCTTCATCCGGTCCAAGTTCTTCACAATCCGTCACTGACATAATATTCTCGTCCGGGAACTCAAAATTCATGGACTGGTAGTCATCCACAGCTTGATGAGTCAAATGATCCGCTAGTACACTTCCCTTGATTTCTTTCTGGGTTGTGTATTGGATGTCATATTCGGTCAAGATCATTTGCCATCTTGCTATTCTTCCAGAGAGTGCGGGCTTCTCGAAGATGTACTTGATCAGATCCATCTTAGATATCAACAAAGTAGTGTGGGTCAACATACACTGTCTCAGTCTGCGAGAAGCCCATGCCAAAGTGTATCAAGTTTTTTCGAGCAGTGAGTATCTTGTTTCACAGTCGTTAAACTTTTTTCTAAGGTAGTATATTACATGCTCTTTTCGACCAGACTCGTCATGCTGCCCCAATACACACCCCATTGAATTATCTAACACTGTTAAATACATTATCAAAGGTCTTCCTTCAATCAGAGGCATCAGAATTGGTGGTTCTTGAAGGTATTCCTTGATTCTCTCAAAGGAAGTCTGGCATTCGTCATTCCACTTTACCACGCGATCTTTCTTCAAGAGTTTGAAGATTGGCTCACAAGTAGAAGTTAAATGGGAAATGAACCTGGAAATGTAATTTAAGCGTCCTAAGAAGCCTCTGACCTCCTTCTCATTGTGAGGAGCTGGTATCTCTTATATAGCCTTCACCTTTGA